GAGTCGCACTTGATTTTGAGGTGCTTGGCCTTGAGGCCGGCGGCAAGTCTGAGACCGCTGAGGAGGGCCTCATACTCGGCTTCGTTGTTGGATACCCTGAAGTTGAAGCGGATGGCATAGTAAGCTCTGAATCCTTCAGGGGATATGAGGACGATGCCGCCACCGCATGATTTCGCGGCCGACAAGCCGTCAGTGAATAGGATCCATGTATCGTCCGGCTCCGGCCCGGGGTTGGCGACGGTCGTCTCCCTCGCTGTGCATTCAGTGACGAAATCGGCCAAGGCTTGCCCTTTGATAGATGGCCTTGGCTTGATCTCAATTTGAAACTGGCTGAGGAAGATCGCCCATTTCACCATCCGGCCGGGAGGTATTCAGAGGGACCTCCTCGGCCGGCTCAGCATGTGGCCTCTCCTCGTCCTTGGCTACGGCGCCCGTGATGGTGTCTATCCTCTGGCCTTCCCTCTCGGCCGGCCTCGTCAGTTTGAGGTAGCACGCCCTGGCTATCCTCTGGTTTCCTCTGGCGTAGCCGATGCCGCCATTGGTGGGGAACTTCAAACATAAGAGCTTCATGGAGATGATGGCCTCCAAGTCCTCCAGCGCTGGCCGGCCCAAGATCAGGTTGTGGGCGCACTGGAGGTTGACCACCATGAACTCCATGTCAATCCTGGCGTGGTGGGGGCCGTCACCGACCTCCACGGGGAGGACTATCGTGCCCTCGGCGTCGATAGAGTCCCTGGTGAAGCCGGATAACGGTGTCTTGATCGGCTTCAGCAGAGCCCTGTCCAGCTTCAGCTGCCTAAAGGTATCCAGGTACATCACGTTGACGGAGCTCCCCGTATCGATGTAAGTGCGGTGGATGATGGAGTCCCCGATCTCACACCGGATGACGAGGGCGTCCCTGTGTGATTCCGCACCCGGAGGCAGATCCTTGTCGGTGAAGGTGATCGCCTCCGTCCGCTGCTTCTTCGGCTGGGGGGGAACGTGGGACACCTCCCCAATGTAGAGGGATTGGGCCCATTTCTTTCTCTTGGTGGCGGAGTCCCCCCCCAGTGTTCCCACCTACGATGAGGTGAATGTGATTCTTCTTCGGCGGGGGCTCCTCGAAGTCCTCGTCGTCGCTGAGCCTACCAATCTCCCGCTTCTTCGCAGAGGGTTCGCCCCCATGTTTGCCGGTGTTTACCCATGTGTTTTTGCGTGGGCCACCTTTAACAAACTGGGAGAGTTCCCCCTGGCGAATAAGGCGCTCGATGGCCTTCTTAAGTGTGATGCAATCGTCGGTGTTGTGCGACGAGTTCTTGTGGAACCGGCAGTATGTGCCGCCCTGCTGGATGGCAAGGATCTCCTCGGCCGGCCGAGGAGCCTGCTCGATGAGGCCGTGCTTCTCAGCATAATCGAGGATGGTGCCGACCGGGTGAGTGAGGGAGACCCCCGGCCGTTCCAACCTCGGCCGCCAGTGGCGATCTTTCTTACTCTGTCCACCAGAGCCGTGACGGCCCTGGGCACCCTGGCCGGTCGGGGACGGACCCGGGGCCGGCGAAGGATTTGTCTTCTTGGAGGGATGGCCCCCCTCTTTCTTGTGATTATGGAGCTCGTCGGCGTCGGCGTACAAGCCTCCGCGCTGGAGCGCCTTGGCGTACGACCTCGGAGGGTCGGTGATAAGGCTCCTAGCGTACGGGGAGCTGCGGAGGGCTCCCTGGTACAAGGCGAGGAGGGTGCGCTCATCGGCCCCTTCGACCTCCTCGGTTTCCCTCGTCCACCGATCAATAAATGACCGGAGGGACTCCTCGTGCTGCTGCTTGACAGAGAGGAGGTGGGTGAAATACTTCTTCGTACGCTTCCTCCCGGCAAAGTGATTGAGGAAGCGTTGGGCGAGATCCTGCCATGAGTCGATGCTTCCTTCGGGGAGCGCGTTGAACCACTCGTACGCTGGCCCCTCGAGAGTAGAGAGGAACCAGCGGCAGAGGTATTCGTCGGACGCGTTCACCATCAGCATGTTGTTCTGATAGCGGCTGAAGTGTTCCTGGGGGTCTGATCGGCCGTCGTAGGACTTGATGGCGTTCCCCCTGTACTTCTCCGGAATGGGGGCCGAGAGGACCCTGTTGGTGAAAGGGGTCCTGGTCCTGACCTGGATTATGGGGTCACCCCGCCCCTCGGCCAGCTCCCTCTCCAGGGCGCTCACCTTGTTCATGAGCGCGTTGAGGCCGTGGTCGTTGGAGGCGCCGGCCGTAGGGATGTTGGCCGACTGCTTGGCTTCCATCTGAGCCAGCCTCCTTTCCAGCTGGGCGATGACTTCGTCCCGGGGGTCCCTGGCGGCCGCCGCGGCGCCCGGCTGGTTCCTCATGCGTTCGTCGTGAGCCGCATTGATCCGGTGGTGCACGTCGTCTTCGTGCAGCTTCCCCTTGCCCTTGTCCGGGCGGGGCTGGTCCGCTGTCCGGGACACAGACCCCAAGCTTTCCCTAGGCGAGCCAGGCCGACGCTCGCCAATCCGTCCCGCCATCCTCTCCGAAACCGGACGACGGCGCGTGTCACCTAGCCTGTTGAAGGCGGAGGCTTTTCCACGCGCTGGGGTCTGCCCGGGCCGAAGAGGGGAAGCAGGGTGGGAGTGGGACGACGCCGTGTCCTGGGCCATCACCCCCTCATCGTTGCCTATCTGGACGGCCAACGGTTGGGGCTGAGGAGGTGGAGTGACGTTCTCCCCGGTCCTTGGCAAGAGTGCGCTGAGGACGGTGGGGTTCTGAGCTAGGCTGGCGATGATGGCCGACAGCGCGGCCTGGACCTGTGGATCCACGGACGGAGAGGCCGCGGCCATAGGCTGGGCCGGGGCGTGATCCGTCTTCTCAGCTCGTTTCTTGTCCAAGCCGAGGCGGGCATCAGGGGCTCCGCCGTTGAGTTGGTTGCGGAGGTCCGTCGTGAGGTTGAAGGCCTCCTGGAAGAGGTCCCCTCCGCCGACCTGGTCGGCCGTGGCATCCTCATCGTGCTCCCTGGGCTCTTGGTCCTCAGGGATGGCTTTGCTGACGAAGTTGCGGTTTGACTTGGTTCTTCCCATGATCAGTGGTTAGCTGTGCTTGGTAGCGACGAAGGGTGCTAACTTGATTGTTCTAGCTCTCAATGAAAGCACCAAATGATAGAGTATATCTAGAGAGAAGTGAGAGCTAGAGAGAGAAGTGCAATAATATGCTTCAATAGAATGAATTTGTAACCCCTATAACTACTCCCAAGGGGAGTATTTATAGAGAAAATACGGGCTGGGCTCCCAAGCCTTGGGCTTGGGAGGCCCATTTACAACTGGACCGCCACTGGGCCGAATACAAAGCCACTAATGGGCTGTACAAATAAGTAAGTGTAAAATCCGGTTCTGTGAGGTCTTCGTGGCCGACGAGGGCGTGGCCGACGAGGGCACGGCCGACGAGGGCGTGGCAGACGAGGGCACGGCCGACGAGGGCGTGGCCGACGAGGGCACCCGGGTTCCTTGGGCTCAGGACCATAATCTGAGTTGGCACCTTTTCGGCCGACGGGGGTCCCTTGGCCGACGAGGGCGCCACTCAGTGTCTTGCACTTTCTGTTCTTCTGAGTATGTGGGTCCAGGGGCTCAGACCCATATACTCCATCAGACACCTCCTCTTTATATGATGTAGGCTGTGAACTGATGATTTCTCCTCTGTCTAGCCTCACACTAGGGCTCGCATAGGATGATCCTGTTGATTTCAAGTCTCCTCCTGATCGACTCACACACGAGCTGTTAGTAGATGAAGAGACCTGCGAACAGGGGAGATCTGTTTGTGAAGAACCCTGAGGTCTGGGAGATACTGTTTGCGGCGAAGCTGGCCAACTGGAAGAAGCTGCTGACGATGAAGATCGAAGAGGAGAAACAGTTCGCAACGAACTGGGAGATGATGCGGTTACCCACTGCGAACTGGATGAAGCTAGAGATGAAGTCAGCGAACCGGAAGATGAAGTTCGCGATTGCGAACTGGAATGATTCCTGAGAATCGAATTCTGCGACCTATGAGAAGCTGTACGTGAAGGGGCCTGTGAACTGCGGACATCTGCTCGGGGCGACGCTTGCGAACAGGGAAGAGCAATTGACGATCGCTGAGAACTGCGATAAATTGTAGGCGACGAAGAGGGCTGGTGAGTAGCGGCTAACGTCGAGCATTGTTTTTCAATTGGCCGACGATGTCTAGGAGGGCTCCTAGCTCTGTCTCTATGTCGCCTCTGACGGTGACGAAGTTTGCGCAGCATATAGCGCAACTCCTTCCAACTGTCGCTATTGTCCATCCTCTTCTTCGACTGTCGTTGAAACTGACGATCCATTCAGGCTCCAGGAAGGATGCTTTGATACCAATGTTAGATACCTCAACAAAAGCAGCAGAAATTTACGATTTATTGAAGATGAAAGAACAGAAAGAAAGAGAAGAAATCAGAACGAGACACTTCGAGCAGTCCCCTCTCCCAAGTCCCAAGCCTAATTCCAATTTCTGCCTAACTTCCTTCTTCCTTCCTTCCCACTCTTATAGTAATTATATCCTAACGGGCCAGCCCACTATTACATTTGATTAAAATACTCAGTATTATTTCTATTATATCTCACTCCATAAGCCCATAAGTCCAGGTCTCTATCATGATACTCATTGTTAGTCTCTTAAATACTCAATAAAATAGGTCTGATGCTCATTAAAAGTACACTATTGCTCATTTAGCGGAAGACGTGATTTTTCGCTTAAATTACAAAAATCCCACTGAATTAATTTTGGCATTTATTAGTTTTTGGGCTGTATACCTTAGTTGGGCCGGGTGTACATACACCCGGATGTACCATATAGGCACTCGAAACTAGTCAGACTGGAAATTAGGAGAGCGAGACCTCTGAAAGACTCTCAAACTGGTTACTGCTTTACTTCTTTACAGTTTCTGTGTTTTCTTCTGAATCAACATCTATTTTTCCTTTTACTATTTTGGTTCCTATCATTTGGTATCAAATCAAGTGACGACCGCTATACCTGCACATGGTCTTCACTCGAGCGAGAATGGAGCAACGTGTGGAAAACCTAGAACACAACTTAGCGGAAGTGAAAACTGCCATGAACGAACTGCTTGGCTTGCGTGAGACGGTGGCCGAACTGAAGAATCTGATGTTACACGGTGATCGCCATAGGAGAAGAGGACGGTCGTCGGTCGCAGGTGTCTAAACATCATCGCCGGGAGGAAAGTATGAACTCGTCGCATACCAGAGGTCATTCTAACAGTTCTCATGCTTCGTCCTTTACTCCGGAACCTACAGTAAATAGGTATTATGCTCGTACTGGAAGGAAAGTTGACTTGCCTGTTTATAACGGGGAAGATGCACATGGGTGGATCATTAGGGTGGAAAGGTTTTTTCGGTTGAATCAAGTTAAGGAGACTGAGAAAATAGAGATGGTGGCCGTGGCAACGGAGGAGAAAGCTTTAAACAGGTACCAATGGTGGGAGGAACAGACCAATGAACGTTCCAGGGAAAAATTTAAGGAAGCTGTGATTAGACAGTTCCAACCAAGGATGGTGCAAAATCCCTTCTGTCCTATTCTTAGCGTGAATGCGTGATGCAGATAGGATCAGTCATGGACTATCAGGATAAATTTGAGCTGATCGTAGCCCCCCTCCGCGAAGCATTCACAATGGAATGCTTAAAGGCATTTTTATCAATGGCCTAAAGTAGGAGATCAAAGCAGAACTCAAACTGTTTCCTGCACAAAGTTTGACCAAGCTGATGGACCGAGCTCTATTACTGGAAGAAAGAATGTAGCTCTGAGAATAAGAGGAAGCAAGGATGTAGACAAGGGAGTAGAAAGAAAAAGGGGGGACTGTATCCAAGCATCAACAGTGGATAGAAGCAGAGGCGGACCCAGTAAGGGTCCTACGGGTCCCGGGACCCTGCACCTCGAAAAAAATAGCTATATATTATATAAAATTAATTATTCAATGTATATTTACAAAAAAACGACCTTGGAATCAAAAAAACGGAGCAGGGGAACGAGAGCACGCATGGGATTGAAAGTTCGCATGGGATTGAAAGTTTCTATGTTGCGGGAGGTACCATGTTCGAATCCCCCTGGTTTTTTTTTTGTTTTCCAAAACTATTTTAATTAAATAGACCAAAACTACGTCGTTTTGGCCAATCTTTTTACTTTTACCATTTCACATTCACTTTTTACCCCTTTTTCTCTCCCTCTTTCCTTCTCCTCTCTTCCTCTCTTCTCTGCGCTCATTCCTTTACCGTAGCCCTGTTTCGACATTTTTCTTTCCTTCATTCTCATAAGCTTTCAATTTTTGGAGATGTCAACTCTCAATTGACATGAAAATTATGAGAAGCCACTTTGTTGAACTATGAATTAAACTACGGAGTACTTTTTTCTCCCTACCTTGATTTGAGGTTTGTCCCTTTCTTGTGCATTTAGATCTAAATTTGTTTATATTTTTTCTTTTCGATTTTAAGCATAGAATACATGTTAGAGTGTTTACTGTTTGATTACATTATTGTATTGTGATGGACCAGTCATGTTTATAATTTTAATTATAATTCAACTATTCTATCGCTTTTATACTCACAAGGTATTTGTTGAAATAATTCGATGTTTTTTGCATTCATATCCACAATTTCTTGTGTTCATTTTCCCTTTTTGTTAACATATTTTTGAGTTGGATGGATTATAGATATTATTTCTATATTTTTTCTGTTCATTCTCCCTTTTTGATTTTATGTATGTAATACATAATATATGTTAATTATAATGTTGGATGCTTATTTATAGATTTGTGATGTTAATAATAATAAAAATTGTTCAAATATTTTATTTGACTTTTATGCTCGTAATTAAGGTGTTTGAAAAGTCACATATGAAAATCTTTACTCATCATTTTCTTTCTCTTCACATTTGAATTCTAGTATTTGGTTAATAAACTCACCTTCAAAGAATTTCTTTTCACATGTTTTTATCACACCACTCAAACTAATTTAATTAGTTTTATAATCTTACTAAATTGTTAAAGCTCATTCTTTAAATGAGCTTTAATGGATTATGTTCTTATTCACTAATTATGTTCTTATAATCTTACAAAATTGTTAAAGCTCATTCTTTAAATTGTTAAACTAATTATGTTTTTATGATTCTTTAATATTTTTTTATTAGTTTTATATTAATTAGAGATTAGAGATATAAAAGGGTAGGGACCTCATGGCTCCAACTTTCTGGTCCGCCACTGGATAGAAGGGAACTGGTAGAGACATGACCAAAATAATACCAGCCTCACTGAGAAGGTTTCGGCTGATATTAAAATAAAAGAAGCACAAAAACTGAACCAAACATGGGAGGGAGGCCAAAGGTTGTCACAAGCGGAGATAGAAGAAAGAAGTAGAAAGGGCCTGTGTTTCAAATGTGGAGAAATGGAGTAAAGAATATGTTTGCAGAATGAAACTTTATAAATTTGTCCTTGTGGAAGGTCTAGAAGAGGAGAAAGGATCAGATGTACAGCTGCCTGAACTGGATGTAGCAGAAAGGGATAGGGATCCAGACACTACTAAATAATACTCCATCCGTCCCTTAAAGGTTTGCCAAGTTTGACCGGCACGTAGAATAATAAAGTAAAAACTGTGTGGTAGATATTTGTGCAGAGGAGAGAGAAATAACAGGAGCCACAAATTGATCGATTAAAAGGGAAAGTGACAAAGTTTTTGGGACAACCAAAAAAGGAAAGTTGGCAAAGTTATAAGGGACGGAGGGAGTAAGAGTCTTATTAATTATTTTAATATTATTCAATAATAGGGTTCTAGGTCCATTAACTTAGTTGAGGGACGGCGCTTTAGGAGAGTGTTATTTAAGAACGGGTAGGGGGGAGAATAAGGGGGGCGGAAATTAGTAGAGACTGGGAATTGGGAGAGAGACCTCTTGAAGAGTCTCAAACTGTTTTACTTCTTTACCGTTTCTGTATTTTCTTCTCAATCGACATCTATTTTTCCTTTTACTGTTCTGGTTCCTATCAAAATATGATAACAATTTTAAAAGAATGATCTCTAAAAATAACAGATTCAGTCCAGCAGACCATAAGATTCACAGCTTGGAAAGAAAAAAACGTGGCTGGTATAGTGGTATCTATATTCTAAATATCTAATTTACATTTCTCGTCTCTACTAATAGGAGTGAATGTGTGATTACATTTTTCATTAATGGATAGGCCTTAACGAGTTAAATTTTGCACTACATTATACAATCATCAGCCCTTGCTGTGAACCAAGTTGGTGCATGTTTGGGATGACTTAATGTATAAGAGCTTTACAGTAATAACTATTAAATGTAAAAGGGCTCAACTACCCAAAGTCATATATAGAAAGGAGCAAAGGGCATCTTTGGAGGTTTAATCTTTCTTACTACCCTGATTATTCCAATTAAATTTATGCCAACTAACCAAATTACAAAATTTAGTATGATTTTTACTCCCTACGTATTCTTCTCAACCACTTCATTCCTCCTTTATCACTTTCTTTGTACGAAAACGAGCTGTTGGTGTTTCATAGAAAATCGGGCTGAGAACTCAGGGTAAGTATGCATTAGTGCTTTAAAAGAAGCAAAAATAAACTTAAAACCCACAGGAAAAGTTTTTTTCCCTGCTTCATCCTCCAGACTTCCTGATAGAGTATATCTCCTGAATTCTAGAGAGAAGTGAGAGCTAGAGAGAGAAGTGCAATAATATGCTTCAATAGAATGAATTTGTCACCCCTATAACTACTCCCAAGGGGAGTATTTATAGAGAAAATTAGGGTTGGGCTCCCAAGCCTTGGGCTTGGGAGGCCCATTTACAACTGGACCGCTACTGGGCCGAATACAAAGCCATTAATGGGCTGTACAAGTGAGTAAGTGTAGGATCCGATTCTGGGAGGTCCTCGTGGCCGACGAGGGCACGGCCGACGAGGGCACGGCTGACGAGGGCACGGCCGACGGGGGCACCCGGGTTCCTTGGACTCGGGATCATAATCCGGGTTGGCTTCCTCTCGGCCGACGAGGTCGTTTGGCCGACGAGGGCGCCACTCTGTCTTGTGCTCTGTTCTTCCGAGTATGTGGGTCCTGGGGCTCAGACCCATATACTCCATCAGGAGTCCCCCACTCTCTAAGCTGAGACGTAGACGAAGTGAAGGAGAGTAGATTTCTGTGCTTTGTTGCTTTTGGCCGACGCGGGCGTTTCCAGGCCGTTAGTCGTTGTGGCGTTGGCGTTGTTTCCTCTCTGGTGATCCTATTCTGTGTTTTGGCCGTTACCTGTTCCTTGCTGTGGGCGGGAGGCCGTCATTTCCTTAATGTGTTTTGGGACGATGAGTGTCCTTCCTTCAATGGTGGCCGTTGAGGGCGCGCTTTCCCTTTCCTGGCCGTTGGTGTTTGAAGTTTACGTTTGGGCCGGTGAGGCCGTTGAGGTTGTTCCTTTGTGTCTTTGGCCGAAGAGCCCGTCAAGATTAATTGTTGGCGGAGGACGATGAGTGTCCTTGCCTCTAGTGGCTTGTTGGCCGTTGCTAGTGACGTTATGGGCCTTTGGCCGATGAGGTTCTGTTGTGCTGTACGGGTGATGTGGCCATGTTTTGTGGTTACCTTGTTTATACCTTTGTTTCGTTGAGGCCGGTGTAGTCCCCCAGTCCCCCACTGCTTCAGGCCGAAGAGAGTGAGGGGTGAAGGAGTTGCCTGAGTCCTTGGCCGAAGCGGTCTCGCCGTAGTCCCCCTGAATCCAACTCTCATGGCGATTTTCTGGCCAAGGTAACCCTGTGGGAGAACCCTTGTGCGCAGATCGCTTGTAGAGAGTTATCGTCAAGGGTTATTACGAGGAGCCGAAGGTTGTGGGCTATTTGTTCCCTTTGTTCTTTGGCCGTTACGTACTTGGCCGTTGCCATCCTCTTATTGTTTGGCATTTGTGATATTGGTGAGCAAATGGGACGTTGAGGGCGCTTGCTGGCAGTTGTAAGGCCGTTGAGCGTGTGTAGGCCGTAGAGTCTGATTTGCCAGTGGGCCGTTGATATGGGTTGGTCCTGGCCCGCTGGTGACGTGGTGGCCCCCCAGTGGTGGCCGTTGATGTGGCCATTTGGTGAGTGCCACGTGTAGTGACCGTTGGTGGGGGGGGTCTATAAATACCCCTTCCCCTCCGACGAAGAATCACATTTGCATTCTGAATTTGTCGAAGTGCTGGCCGATTTTCTAGAGAGAGAAACTCCCAAGCCTGTTCTTCGTGTTCTTCATTGTTTGAGGTTAGTGTTCATCACGATCT